TTTGACATTTGTATGCATTGGGAAATGATCACCACAATGAGTCTAGTTACCATCTATCACCACATAAAATTACAAAAATAATTTTTATGTAATAGGAAACTTTAAGATTTACTTTCTTAGCATCTTTCAAATTTGCAATACAATATTATTGAGTATAGTCACCATGCTCTATATTATATCCCTATGACATATTTATTTTATAACTGAACATTTGTACCTCTTGATCCCCTTTGCCCATTTTACCCACCTCCCAAACCTTCTCCCTTTTGGCAACCACCAATCTATTCTCTGTATCTATGAGTTTTGTTTTGCTTTGCTTCTTCATTTGCTTTGTTTTTTTGACTCCACATGTAAGTGAAATCATATGGTATTTGTTTTTCTCTGTCTTACTTCATTTAGCATAATACACTATAGGTCCATCCATATTGTCACAAATAGCAATACTTCATGGTTTCTCATGGTTGAGTCATATTGCATTGTGTGCATATGTGTTTGTGTGTGTGTGTGTTATTGTGTGTGTGTATACCACATCTTCTTTATACATGCATCTATCAATTAACATGGGGATGCATATATCCTTTTGAGTTATTTTTTTTTTTCCTTTGGATAAATATCCATAAGTGGAATTGCTGGATCATATGGTAGTTCTATTTTTAATTTTTTCAGGAACTTCCATACCGTTTTCCATAGTGGTTGCACCAATTTACATTCCCACCAACAGTGCACAAGGGTTATCTTTTCTCCACATTCTCACCAACACTTATTTCTTGTCTTTTTGATAATAGCTATTCTAACAGGTGTGAGGGGATATCTCATTGTGGTTTTGATTTACATTTCCCTGATAATGAGTGATGTTGATAATCTTTTCATGAAACTATTGGCCATGTGCATATCCTCTTGGAGAAAATGTCTATTAGGATCCTCTGCCTATTTTTTAATCAGATTTTTTTTCTATTGAGTTGTATAAGTTCTTTATATATTATGGATATTGGCCCCTTATCAGATACACAATTTGCAAGTATTTTCTTCCACTGAGTACATTACCTTTTTATTTTGTTGATGGTTTCCTTCATTATGCAGAAGCTTCTTAGTTTGTAGTCCCATTTGTTTGTTTTTGCTTTTGTTGCCATTGCCTTTGGAGCCAGATTAAAACAACAACAACAACAACAAACATATCGCCAAGACTGATGTCAAGGAGCTTACTGCCTATGTTTTCTTCTATGAGTTTTATGGTTTATGGTCTTACATTCCAGTCTTTAATCTGTTTTGAGTAAATTTTTGTGTATGGTGTAAAACAGTGATCCAGTTTCATTATTTTTCACATAGCTATCCAGTTTTCCCAACACCATTTATAGAAGAGACTGTCATTTCCCCTCTGTTGTCAACTTTTGAGCACTTTAAATTATGAAAGAAATTCAGATCTATAACACTTCTCAAATCTGGTTTGAGAGGCAACACACGGAATGGGAGATTTTTGCAAATGACATTACAGACAAAGCTTTGGCTGATATCCAAGATCTATAAAGACCTTCTCAAACTCAACACCCAAAAAACAAATAATCAAGTCATAAAATGGGCAGAAGACATGAACAGACACTTCACCAAAGAAGACATACAAATGGCTAACAGACACATGAAAAAATGTTCATCATCATTAGCCATCAGGGAAATGCAAATCAAAACCACATTGAGATACCACCTTACACCAGTTAGAATGGCCAAAATGGACAGGGAAAGAAAGAACAAATGTTGGAGAGGTTGTGGAGAAAGGGGAACCCTCTTACACTGTTAGTGGGAATG